AGGGGGGGTGGGAATCAAAATCCAAAATCCGAAGTACATTTCTACCAATGCATATCACTTTTGCACCATTGTAAAGTTGAAAAATCATAAGCCACACCATCATAAGTCAGGGACCGTCTGTATATTTAAGTATCAACATCATAAGGGTGATATTTAAAGCAGTTCAAAACTGAGATACCTTGTCTAAATAAATGTGATTATCGGGCCAAAATTCAAAGTGAGAAACTCTATAGTATAGAAGTGGCTCAGAATATGATTTTTATTTGTACAATCCTAAATAATGTGAGGGCTGATAAACTGAGAAAAGAATGGGAAGCACGCAACAGAGAAGTATGACCTACATTGCCATCTGTGGGGGGAGATGAGCATCTGTCATGTTGAATGAGAGATGGATCTTGGAAATTCCCAGTGAATCACAACAGCCAGCACTACAGCTTAAGAGCAAAAACAGATTTCAAGCCCAATTTAGCTTTCTCTTGGTTTTTTAATTTGGAAAAAAAAATATTTAAAGAAGGAGGAAAAATAAACATCTAATATATTAGAAACGGCAGCTTTTAAGAATCCCAGATAGAATTTTAAATCAAATCAGAATGGTATTGTGCTGGAGAAAGAATATTATCAAAACTTGTCTCCAGAGTAGATTTTATGCTCCCCAGAAGCAGCCTATTTTCTGACTGATGGATCCATGAATGTCAGAAGGTATGGTGGCAAAAATCCTAGCCTGGAATTTAGTCTCAACTCTAATATGATGTCAGTCTATCTAGTGATTTTACTCTTTGGGTCTAAATTTCCTCCTCTATAAAGTGGATGAAATTGGATTAAGTGATTCTCAAGGTTACTTGCAATAGCTCTCCTATTTATGCTGTGCACTTATTTAAAAAGCAGCCAGTTAATCATTGCATGCTTAAAATAATATTTATTTTATAGATGGAAATAGCATTTCTAGAACTTTCTTTTATGCATTATCATTCTTATTATTTTACTTCTGAAATCTTACATCAGTATCTTTTCTCTCATTTAGGGTGGAGTTAGTGGGTTGACTGGAGAGCTAGAATTTGGAGAAAATGGAGGCAACCCCAATGTACACTTTGAAATTCTTGGAACCAACTACGGAGAAGAGCTTGGCCGAGGCATTCGCAAAGTAAGACCAGAAACAATGATAAATATGCTATTTTCTATACTAATTATGGTTTTATTTGATTTTTTCATATAATATTATTACAGTATACATTAAAATCCCTATTGTAAATAGTTTGAAAGAGAAGGGATGGGGGAGAATTAGGCATTTTAGTGACCTTAAGTACTTACCAGAAGTATTAATCAATAAATTATAGTTATGCCTTAAAATAATTTAAAGGAAGAAAGGTAATCTGATGGTTGCCTAGGGAACTAGCAAAATCTTTCATTTATTATAATAATCTTAATAAAATAGTGAATGTAATATTTATACAATGCATAGCTGTTTGGTTATTTAACTTGTGTAACATGCACAAAATCAGAATAAGAGCTTAGAGAAATTTCATATAGTAAAGGAGGAAGTCTATAAAATGTGACATTACAGTATTTCAACTTCTATATATGTCACAAAGAAGTAGAAAATGGTTTGCAGGAAATGAGCTCCTGTTATATACACAGATTGCACGGGAGAAAAAACTGAGTGCAATAAAGGATATTTCAGGAAATAACTGGAACAATACTTTCTCAAGGAGAAACATAAAAACCCCTGAAGAAATCACTTCTCTAGTTTGAATTTGCCATTTTTATGTTTTTTGTAGGTAAGAACTTAAGGTAATTGAATGTGCATATACACTTCATAACATATATTTCTAACTGTATACTCATAAAGTTACTGCATCGAGAGTAAGAGGTTCTTCAGTAGGTATTTCTTTCTGGTGTTGAGGTGTCAGATGCAGAGAAACTTAGAGAAAATGAAGTTAGGAGTTACTCAAATCATCAATAAAAACTTATCAGTAAAACATTAGAGGAGTTGAAACTATCTTAATGTGTTTTTAATTATCATTTTATAGTGAAGCATAGCAAATATACAGAAAACTTCATAAAACACAAGGATCATTTAGTGAAATATTTTAAAGGAAACAACCACTATTATAGTCAAGAAATAGAACATTTCAAACATTCTGAACACCCCCATATATTCTCCCTGATTACATCCCTGACCTCCCTTCTGAGTAGTATAACAGTCTGAATTTTATGATACTAATTTCTTTTCAGTTTTAAATATAATTTTTATCACCTGTATGCATATCCTTAAATAATATAATTTAATATTTTACCAATATTTTGATTTATGAGCAGTCTCAATATGGCATATGTTCTTTTTCTTGCTTCTTGTTCAACATTCTGTTTGTGTTATCTGTTCTTGTTACATGTAGTTGTAATTTATTCATTTATATTGCTGTATCATCTTCTATGAATTGTCCCATTCTACTGTGGTCTGTTTTCATTTTTAGGCTACTATAAGGAAAGCTGTTATGAATATTCTTGGACATATATCTTTGGATATATACACTCTTGTACTTGTGCATATATCTATCTGTAGGCTTTGTAAACAAGAGCAGAATTGCTGCAATACAAGCAAATGAATCTTGAACTTTACTGGCTAACCTGAAAAACATTTTCATAGAGATTTACCAATTTATATACCACAAGCAGGGCAGTAAGTTCTCATTGCCCCATGTTCTCACCAAATCTTGGTTTAGTCAGATTTTTAAACTTGTATTACGTTATTGGATATATAATGATATATCCTAATGGTTTCAATTTGCATTTCCCTGATTGTAAAAAGGTTCTGGCATTGTTTCCTATATTTTTTTGGCTGTCCAGATTTCTTTTTGAATTAATTGCCCATTCTAGTCTTTGGCCCTTTTCTATTCAGTTGTCTTTTGTTTTTAAAATTGATTTTAGGAGTTACATCTATATTTTTAATGTTAGTATCTTGTTATTTAATTATGTTTTAAATAGTTTCCTCTGTGTTTTTAATTTACATTTTATTCATAGTGTGTTGAAATTTAGTAGAATAATGAATTTTCTTCCTTATGATGATTGCTGTTTAGTCTTATTCAAGAAATCATTCCCTATTGCCAAAGTCATCAAGATATTATGCTCTACCTTTTCAGTTGAAGCCTTTTGTCTACTTGGAATTTTTTTTTAATAAGTGGGAAAAGAAAAGAATACAATTTCAGTCTTCAATATAGTAACTTGACTATTTATTTTTATTGAGATTTAAATACAATGAAATGCACGAATTTTAAGTCTACAAAAGCTTCCAGTGATTGCATTCACCAATGTGACCACAACCGAGATCAAGTTACAGAACATTTCCATCACCCAGAAAGCCCCATCACTCCTATTTCCACTCTTGACAGCACAGATAGTTTTGCCTGGTTTGGATGTTCATATGAATGGATAATGTAGTATAGCAGCGGTTCTCAACCTGTGGGTCGCAACCCCTTTGGGGGTCGAACGACCCTTTCACAGGGGTCACCTAAGACCATCGGAAAACAAAAAGATATTTACATTACGATTCATAACAGTAGCAAAATTACAGTTATAGAGTAGCAACAAAAATAATTTTATGGTTGGGGGTCACCACAACATGAGGAACTGTATTAAGGGGTCACGGCATTAGGAAGGTTGAGAACTGCTGTTAAGTATAGTCTTATTTGTGCCTCCTTTGACTCAGCATATTGTTAGATACATCCTTATTTTCATGCGTCACTATTTTTTATTTATATTTTTTTTCACTTATACTGCTAATGATATTATAGTGTATGAATATCATATAGTATCTTTTAAAATTATATTTTCTGTTTGTTGATATATAGGAATGACATTGATATGTTATATGGCTTTTTATATCCAGCTTTCTTGCTCCACCCTTTAATTCTGATAACTTAGCTATAGATTCTGGTGAATTCTCTGCATATTATCATATCATCTGCAATGAATAATTTATCTCTGCCTTTCTAATTTTTACACCTCTTATTTCTTCTTGCCTAGTGTACTGAATAAGGCCTGTAGGACAACGTTGAATGGAATTAATAATGATAGGCATGCTTAGAGTAAAAGGTGTCAGCATTACATTAGTAAATATAACATATAATGTTTTTCTTTTCCATTTCATTAACTTTGATCAGATTAAAGAAGCTCCATACATTCCTGGGATAAGTCTAATTTTGTATTAACATAAAACTGTATTTATATAAAAACATAATTATGTTTCCATAAAAATTATTTGATTTTTTACCACTATGCTTAAGATTTTTACATTGATGTTCATGACTAAGTTTACCTGAACTTTTCCTCTTTGTTGGATTTTTTTTTTTTTTAATCAAGATGTCCCTTTAAAACATTTTTAGAGAGTTCATTTAAAGCCCCTCTGCAATGATTAGGCTTGTGGAACCTGTATTGACTAGAATGTATACAGAGAAACTGGCTTGAACCATCAGGCTCAAAGAAGTAATTTCTGTAGACAAATGAGTTTCCTCTTATCCATAGTCAAAGTAGGGTCCCTTGATTATTCCACAATATCATTGTGGGAGAGGGGCCTTGCTAGTTCTCAGTTAGTTAGCAGACATCTCAGAAGGAACAAGATGATGAATCTCAATAGCTACCATTTGACAAGTGAAGAAACTACAATCTTTGCTGACCTGGCCCCTGGCCATCTGTGAATTCTTCTCAGGGTGAGACTCAGTACTATCCATCATTTACAGCAAGTCTCCGCTCTCGTCTCTCAATTAACATTGTGTTAAAGCCTGAGATCAGGGCAAACCTATTCTCACTTTTGAACATGGGAGAATTACTCATACAATGGCAGCCTGTAGGTGGCTTGTGAAAAAGGCAATGCAGACTAGGAAATGGTGAACTGAACTAAGTCAAGAGACCTCAGTTTGGGGCTTGCTTGTTTGTTTGTTTGTTTTTAATCCCTGTTGGAATTTGACATTAAGGTTCTGTTGGCCTCATCAAATGTGGTTCAGATAGTTTCCTCTTTTTCTATTCTTTATGAGTTTTATAAAGTTGGAAACATTTCTTCTTTGAATGTTTAATAGATTGCCCTAATGAAGCCCAGCTGGGCCTAGAATTTTCTTTCTGGCAATTTTTTTTTTTAAACTACTGAGTCTACTTTTTCATGATAAATAAAAATAAGAAGTTTTATTTTTATTATATTTTCAAGTTTTATATACATATATAATCTCCTGGTATAAAAAAGCTAATAATATTTTAATGTTTTAAATATTTGAAATATTTTGAGATCTGAACTTATTTTCATTTCTGAAGAGTTTTCTTGGTAAAACCCTTTTAAAATTAATATTATAAAGGCTTCTAATAATGCTTTCTTCCTTAATGAATATCTTGTCTGCTATTAATGAAGCTAAACCAATTTCCTTTCTGTTACTATTTCGATGGATGACATTTCTTTTTACTATCTTTTTACTTTCGACTCTTCTGTATCCTTTTGTTCCCACACATAATTTTCATAAAAAGTGTATAATTGGTTATTTGATGCCAACTTGACTATTTATGCCCCCCAAAGTAGAGCATTTCACGTAATTATATGAAATGCATTTACTAATACACTTAGGTTTAAGTCTACCGTCTTATACATTCTACCATTTCGTATGTTCTATTTATCTTGCCTGTTCCAATTTCCTTTTCTCTCCTTTGTTGCCTTCATTTGCATTGCATATATGTATGTGTATATTTTTACTATCATCTTTCCTCGTCTACTAATGTACAAGTTATAGATTCTGTTTCTATGTATTTAATAGTTCCTGTAGAATTTACAGCATGCATTCTTAATTTACTAACATCTAAAGTCAATCAATATTTTTGTCTTCCTCATAGATAACATACTTAGGACATTTTAAATCCACTTACTAAATGTATCCACCTCTCAAATTATAGATTATTGTTTTCATGTTTTTAATGTTCTCTTTTTTATTAAAAATCTATTACCACTACTATTTTGTGCAATACATATTGATTTACATCTACCCACATATTTTCCACTTTCCTTGCTCATTTTTCCTTCCTACTTTTGTATTTAGAATTGCTTTTCTTCTGCCTAAATTGCAGCTTTTTAAATGTTCCTTGATGGTTTTCTTATGGCCAGATTTCTCA